ATATATATATATATATATATATATATAGTTTTGAAAAATATGAAATCAAACTGACATCATACTTTTCGTAGTTTAAATGAAGGAGCGTTACACCTCATACTCTGTATCTATCCCGAGAGATAAACACAAGACTTGAGGGTGAGGTTTGATAAAATAAACTAAGAAATATATGACATTCATTTGGTCTGTGAAACCATTTTATTTGCCGACAAGTTTCCCTATTTAATATGAAGAATTAAATAAGATTTCTTTATATAGAATTAAATAGGATTTGAAGAATTTTAAGCTGGGTTCGGACAAGCTTCCAATAAGAGCAAGCCCCTATAGTTAATTACATCTTAAATGAACAAAGTCATCTAAGAAAACTCTTGATAAAAATTAAGAAATATTATCTTCAAAGAGGTTAAAAAGATGAGACTTTTCAACGAGATCGGACAAAGAGGTGTGAAAGGAGATTGGTTCAAATTTGGAGCATTTGGTTGTAGAGTCCAAAGGAGGAAGAACTAGGGGATGTCATAGATCTGGAGGAGAACCTCGGTGACTTCCCAAGCTACCCTATGGTTTGGCTTCAGTTTAGAGCATAAATATTTAAATGTTTTATCATGAAAATTTTATTAGTTTATGGCTTATATTTGTGTGGAAGAATCACACAAATAGCCTGAAAGATGTATAATAGAGTTGTACATGGAATTGGATTTAGGTCGTGACGTGCGACAACCTCAAAATTTGAAGACGAGTTAGGGCTTAGATTATATAATAGAGTTGTACAAAGGCCTAAAGATGAGTTGAAGATTTATGTTGCGCTAGTCAAACAACTTCGAAATCTTATGGTTTGTTGTTTAATTCTGAGGGAATGGTTTAGTTGGGGAAGACATGTTTTGCAGTTGAAGATGGTTGTGTTGCCCACTATGCTAGTTCCAGGCTCCTCGCCATGACGAGTTTAAGTTTTCTAGTGTGTCAGGTCATGATGTCAAGTTAGATGTCCCTATGGTTATGTTCATTTAAACATTATGGGGCATATTAAAGTTGATTAGAGCAACACCGATTAGGATCCTACGGTTCCCTCATTCTGGTAACACTATTTTCTATCAGATTCATTTAGTCTAAATGAATTTACGAAACTCAACTTAATGAGTTTCATACTTCCATTTAGACTGTGGGAAGCCTCGTTAGCAACCGTAGGTTACCTCCTCTGAGGGATTCCCGATCATCCGATAGAAATGTCTTAATTTAATTGCAATTGTAGTTTTGTGATGTTTGTGATTAAATTTTGAATTGTCTTATATTTTGGAGATTGTGGCGGAGAATTTTATCTTGGTTGATTTTAGTTTTGGTTTCCCTAGCGATTCTGGTTTTCATGCAGAGTGTCATCATTTTTTAACATGCAAGTTTAAAATAAGGAATATAAGAAGGTAAATGCATTAATTTAAAAGCATACATGGTGAGTCTTCTTGCTTCACCACCTAAAATTTTAGTACTTGCAAGGCATGTATGTAATGTTGCAAGGAATTTAAATTGCATGAGTGGATTAAGGTTTAGCTACTGAACCCCAAGTTATGATTTTGTTGAATCTTGAAAGATCCTAGTGGATGATTTTAGAACAAAATGTGATAAGTTCAATTTGCCCTTCAGAATATCCAATAAATTTAAAAATGTTCACGGTGTGGCCCTAGATCATTTTCAATGTCTCTTAAAATATCTTGAGTTCATTTTGATCTTATTATAATATTCTAATAATCAACTGAGTCTATAGTGTGGTTACCCTATTGCTCAGTGAAGCTTGACAATTTAATTATCCCAAGGATAGAGTACTCGATTAATCAATTGATGTTTCATTTAAGATTTATGTGAGTGGAGTGCCCCAAAGGCAAGTTTGACTTATTTAAGATTTATGATGCCCGAAGTCGAAGTCAGGTTTGTAGTGTTTAAAGATTTTAATCACCAACCATATCATTTTCTAAATTCAATCAACTTGAGTTTAGACATCGAACCTATGTCACTACCAAGCCTTTAATAAGCATAATGAGTTAAATGGTGATTATCAAAGTTTTGATTTGAGTGATGTGTACTCTTATCAAATAGTCAAATCATCCTCAACTTTGGGCTTGATAAAAGTAAATTATCATCTTTCTGGATTAAGCCGATCACTTAAGAATCATTTGATCTTTAATTGACTTCCAAGTCATGAAGATTAGAAGACTTATGCTTTTTAGTTGATGTTGTGCAAGAGTGTTGAATGGATTCCTACCTTTAAGCTTCATTATATTTCAATCATCCAAACATGTTTATTAAGATCAAAATTACCCATTTTCTCTTTCATAATCCTAAATTTTGATTAAGGCACCAAAGTCAAATCTAAATTACCCATTTACCACTTTGCCCTTGGGGCACTTCACCTCATTACTCTTTAAACACAACTCAAATGATTTTTGAGGGTTTAAAGTGTTATATCCATGAGGTAATTATAATGTTAAAAGAGGACATGTGGACCTCGCAAAATTTAATTTAATTTAGATAATTATTTAAATTTAGGAAATAGGACTTTCAAAGTTTAATTTATTTAATTATCCAAAATAAGATTTATATTTATAGAAAAATTACTAGAGGTTTCCTAAGGTCAGATAAACAGTTAGGCAAATTTCATGATTTTTTAAATCAAATTTCTATTTTTATTATTTAATTTTAGATCAATTTTCATGATTTATCTAAATAGAAAATAGTGTTTTAATTGCAAAAATTATTTTTATACTTTTATTAGACTCCTCTTAGTTCAGAAAACTCAGAGAATCAAATTTTATATATATTTTTTTATTTTTAATTTATTTAATATAGTTATCTTTGTGAGAAAATAAAGAAAATTCATTTTTAAGCTTTTGAAACTTGTTTTTAATCTTAGGAAAATTAGGAAAAATATTTTATTGAGTCCCAAGTGATCAGATGACGATTAGGCACATTTTGAAATATTTTTTTATTTTTAGAATTCTTAATTATTTTTAATTATTTTAAATCCAAAATATGCCTCAAAAATCATGTTTTTTCAAAAATAAGTTTTATTTTTCCTAACTGCCTCTAATCATAAGAAACTCAGAAAACTACTTTTTATAATTTTACCAAGTGTATTTAATTTATTATAATTATCTTTCTACAAAAATATGATTTCTTAGAAAATACATATTAGTGCTTAAATCAAGCCAAATAATTTTTAATTTTTTACAGTTGGTAGATATGATTTTTATAAATAAAGTGGAGTTAATTTTGTTAATTTTTTATATGTATTTAATTTACATAAATTAATATAAAGTAATTACATTTGACTAAATATAAAAATTCACAATATAATTCAAAGCACCACAATATTTTTTCTTGATTTCTTTGACCACAAATAACCTACTAAAATTTATTTTAAATCCAAAATATGCCTCAAAAATCATGTTTTTTCAAAAATAAGTTTTATTTTTCCTAACTGCCTCTAATCATAAGAAACTCAGAAAACTACTTTTTATAATTTTACCAAGTGTATTTAATTTATTATAATTATCTTTGTACAAAAATATGATTTCTTAGAAAATACATATTAGTGCTTAAATCAAGCCAAATAATTTTTAATTTTTTACAGTTGGTAGATATGATTTTTATAAATAAAGTGGAGTTAATTTTGTTAATTTTTTATATGTATTTAATTTACATAAATTAATATAAGGTAATTACATTTGACTAAATATAAAAATTCACAATATAATTCAAAGCACCACAATATTTTTTCTTGATTTCTTTGACCACAAATAACCTACTAAAATTATTCTCATGATTTTTCAAGTGATATTTTGATTTATATAATTAAAATAAGCCAAAATAGTCATCTTAGTTTGAAAATTAAGGTTAGAATCATAGAGATACCCTCTGACCTTGGAAAAATCAGAAGACATGGCATAAAGATTGTAAGTGATTATGGGTGATAGTGAGTATAGTGAGTGAATAAGCTCTAGACTAACACCCAAAGTCAACCCTAAGATCAATCAGTCCAATGGGGACTCATCTTGAGCTCCCGCATACTTACCACACCTACTAAATACTAGAAGTTAGGAACAATATATGAAACTTCAAGTTGAGCATAGAGGACTTTAAAATTTCTAATGGTGAGGGTTCCTTTCTAGTTTTTTAAAAATAATCAACAGAAAAATCTTATGGCTAGACCTTAGGCAACTAAAGAGGTAAAACCAAACCTCAACCAAAAGTGAGGTCAATAGTGTTTTCATCAATAAAGGACATCAGTGTATGTTGTGATTAGGAGCAGTAGGATTGGCATTAATGATAGGGGTCAACATTGTTGGTGATAGTGGGTAGCTATGCAAGGTATATGGCTAATGTAAACCATTTTTGTGAAGATGGATGCTAACCTTGGTGAATAAGATGGCTATTAATTTTGGAAGATGGCTATTAATTTTGGTGGCGCTAGAATGCATTAGACTTGTTCACATGCATTAATGTTAGTACAAGGACGGGTGTTTTGACTTGTTTGTGATAATGCATGTCCATTCTAGTAGATATAACTCTAAATTCTCTACTCTAAAATAGTTTTAATTGAATCATCTCTGCTTGATAAAAGTGTCATAGTATGATCTATTTATAAATTTCTTCAGAAAAGTTCATTCATTGTAATCAGTTTTTAAAGCACACTATCAAACAAATCATGTTAAACTTCTTTAAGCAAACTTATTTTTGGTCATGTTAATTTATTAATGATATAAGAATTCAACAATCTCAAATATGTCATAGTCTGTTTTTTCATACTATTCAATTAATCATTTGCTTAAAATGGAACTCAGATAATCTTAAAATTTGAAAATTTTTTTACTCGAATTCTTCTGTGCTTTGTGATTTAAGACAAGTACTGTCCAATATTTTTTGGATTGGATTGATCATTGAGATCGAGCAAGGAGAATGGTATGCTTAAACTGCCCCAATAAATTTCCCCCAAAACCGCCTAATCGAGATGAATATAATTGCAACCAACAGAAACTAGATTCACTAAATGAAAATATAATAGCTGCCTAGAGAGTGCATAAGTACTATTTCTAGCCTCTGGCATACATGGGAAGTGGAAACTACGGCAAACATAATCAAAGTACTCGACGACAATCAAACGGTAATCCTGATATCGTCTTGCATTTACCTAGTTCACCCGATATTCCTTATTGAAAGGCTGCGTCTTGATCAACGGATTTCTCTCGAAGAAGTTAAATGGACGAAGCTCAAACCCGCAGGTCAACATCGGCAACAATGGAAAATCCTCTTGGCTTGGAATGTGATGTATGCCAACTGAATACCATAATACAATATCTGTGTTTTTGATGGATCGATTCCTGCATTAAAAGTTTGGAGATAAATAAGAATCTGGAATTAAACATCCAACGATGAATAATTAGTCATAAAAAGAGCAGAATTACATACCTCATGCTTGTTTGATGTAAATTTAATATGGATTGTTTGAAGTAAAATTATGTGCAAAATAAACATACCTCATGCTCCAAGCTGCCAAGTTATCATCCCCGCTACTCTGATCTGCATAGAGCCCGGAAACCCACTTATCTTTCTTGTTGTATGGCGTCACCCACAATTGCTTCTTGGTGTAACCTGCTCTAATTTGCGGGTAGTCATCATCAATCAAAAGAGAGGTAGCTGCCGCACTACTGCTGATGAGGCGATAGCCAACCATGTTGCCGAGCTTAGTCTTCACATCTTGGTTCACAACAAACAACTCTGCTGGCGGCGCTGTGTTGAAGTTCACGCGACCATCGGCCTCAGTGGTCACCGTCTCTTTGACGACAGTCCAATAGCTCTTCCTCGGCGCATCTCCACCATTCACCGTCACTGTTTTGAGGTTGGCCTTCACGAAGGAGTTAGCCGTGCCGGCGACATCGAGGTCAAGATGATAGCTAATGTAGTGGTCATGGTAGACACCGATAGTATTGGGTGCTACCAACTCTCCATGCTGCTCACCTCTTATCTGATTCGCATGAGTGTAATTTGTGGCTCGGACTTCCATCATTCCGGTGAACCCTACCTGGACAATGAGATGCAAGTTGTTTATCATTGATATATAAAGAATGATTAAGATTGATATTTTAGGGTTAGCCTGCTTACCCAAACTTTGATGGTGCCGCTGGTCTTGAATTCCCAGTCTAAGACATAGTCGTAATTCCCCGACGTCGCCACCGACCTTACCACCAAGCTTACCTCCTCTCTGGCTTCGGTGACCTGCAAGCCATTGGTTATTTAATTTATTTTAAAATCAACGCCTCGTTTTCAACTTCAAGGGATTACCAATTATGGTCATCTAATTTATTTTTAATCATTTCAAATTAGTTAAATATAGTTATTTATAAAACATTCAAATTTAAGTATGTGAAACAAAAAAGTTATTATGTGTGTTTTATAAGACACATTGTAGGGTGGGGATGTGAAACATAAAAGTTGACGAAAGGCATTTCATGATATCAAAAGTTAAATTGCATATTTTAAATTTTATTTTTCACTACTAAAAGTAATCGAGGTCAATTATATGATACTTTGTTTTAAAAAAAAATATGATTTATCGAAGGACTCGCCCCACTAAGAAAAGTGTTGGAGAAAAAAATTGCAATATAAGCGAGAAGAGAGAAAGCGGGCAAAGTAATACTTTTAATTTCTCTCTCAGGAAGAAGTTCCTTACGCTACTCTTCTCAACTAGGATGTGAGTTAAAAGGTGTGAGATATTTTTCCCAATAATTTATTTGTAGAATTTTGAACAACCAAAAACTATTTTGTAGTCGACTTCACATTTAATGAGCTCTTGGGTGATTACCACAAGAAGGATGAGTGCTTCCAAACAAAAAATGAAACAAAGTGAATTTGAATGATGCACCCACCCTTCTTAAGAGAAGGGCCTATTCAGCCAAAGAAGAGTTGAATAATGACTCCTTCAAAAGTTTCTCCCACAAAACCAGAGGAGTTTTTCAAAAGAATTGTGGGTGAGAGCACGCAATCCTTTTTCAAATCTTCCTTACGGTATATCGTAAGTGAAAAGTTTGTCATATTAACTGTAGGATATAATCATAAATAGTTTCAATCGACCATTTCAATCAACATCTTTAGCCAAAATGATCATTCCAACTTAGATGATGTCAAATTACTTCGTCAATATTTCCATAATGAATTTATTTATCTGAAAAATAAATATCTCCTGGTTTATAGGTCTGCTTCATAACCTTCTTACTATAAAGAAGTACATTGGTGGATTTATTCAATTCTCTAAAATAAGGGTCAAGCTATCTGTTATAAGAATGGAAAAAGAGGTTTTGTTATGCATTTGCCATGGAATTGTGCTAATTAGAGCTAGCTTTAGCCACATTATCCCAATAAGAGTAAAAACTAGATGACTTTAGAGGATGTATAAAAGCCCGCACTATTGAAGGAAATGTTTTTTACATTAATAGCAAATTAGATTATCTCTTCCTAGGAAAGATTATAGGCCTATGTACTTTTCCTATAAATTTTTTAAGTTTGATTTGATAATGGTGGATGAATTTTGCATATAAATTTAGTAATTTCCTAAACCTTCTTTTACTCATTTATATTGTGAACATGAGGATGACTACAATATCTTGCTTTCATGAGAGAGCAAACAAGATGTGACATGATAGTTATTCACCACAATGTGAGCTCAAGGAATGCCATGATAGTTTTCTTACACTCTAGCAAGGTCCTCTTAATAATAATATTGAGTTCTTGCTAAGAAAAGAGAGAATATGTAGCTTAGAGATAAACCTAGATGAAATAAAGAAAAATGTTGAGGCAAATAAAACTCTCATCAACGATCAACACGTGGTCTTGAGCGAGTGTTATGAATCAATAACAAGTTGAAAACATATATGATAGTGATCGATCTAGCGGAGGCTCATGGGCATTGAATTAATTTTTTTGAAGGGAAGATATTGAGTTTGAAAGCCCATGAAAGGTTGGCTATCATCCAGATGCTTGAAGAGCTTATGAATGCAATGTCAAAAATCGTTATTCAAAAGAAGACCTTATCGAACAATTTTTTTGAATGAATAAAATACTGCTTAAATAATACAATAATGGAATAAGTTCTCTCTATGGAACAGTCTAATATGGATAAGATCTGAGTATCGGTGAAAGATTTGTGCTCTGAAAGTGATAGTGAGGATAGTAGAGAGAATGAGACTAGCGTCATCAACAAATATTCTTAGTTGTCTGGGAAAAATTCAATGTGATTTACTTTTAATCTATAATCAAAATAAAAATGTTTCTTCTAGTCGTACTTCTCTTTTCTCTTTTTTTAGGTGTGAACATGTATAAAATGGCTTGTAGTGAAGCATTATGAGGTGAATTTATAAGGTTGGTTGTAAGGATTTATACAAAAGAGCAATTTGAACCTTTTTCAACATACCGTTGTAATCTCATGTAATCAATCACTAAAAACCCATAGGAAAAGCTTTTCTGCTTAGAAGATCAACATATAATGATTGTAATCTAGTGGTTTTGGTTGCAATTTTCTGAAATTCTATTGCATACTTTTGTATGACAAATTATCACACTTAAAATATGCAAGAAGAATCTTTCATAGTTGAATAGTGTTCATGATTTGGATAGATATCAACTATAGCATAGAGAAATAAATGACTAATAATAAATAACTCAATCTTGAGTATTACATTATGCATTCCCCTTTTTTTACTTTGGTTATGCTTTCACCTCTATTAAATTGTCCTATACCAGACATAAATTTAGTTTTATGACTGAAATTTATAGATTTTGTCACAATTTTTATCGAGGTAACCATTTAGACTCGTCTTAGTAGAGCTTGTGCTTTACTCCTTATGGATTTTATTACAAAGTCTCATAGGGTTAACTTGCATTCCAACGGTATGGGGTAGAGTGGTTTTATAAAACTTGAATATTTATGAACCTTCATGCTCAAGGATAAATGATAGTAATCTATCATCAGAAGTCTTTGGTGAATTGTGAATATAGTAGCAAATTATATTCGAAGGTCGTAGTTTATTTGGTAATTTATAAATAAGGAATAACTTCCATGTTGGTAAATTATATATAAGGATAAACATCAATTGAAAATGATATAAATGATGAGAGTAAGTTCCTACAGGTGACCTTTCATAGAACATCATTAAATAGTGGAATGCGATGGTAAGTGTGAACTTGCTCAAGCAAGTTCATGAGCATTAAGATTGAAGAAACAATAAATGAATGTATGGTTGGTTGTTAAGAGTTGTAGAAATATAAATGCTTCTTACAACAAAAATAACATTTTACGAGTGTAATTTCCAAGATGATATGCGCCACTAACTCTGACTTTATTTCTTCCACTAGCCCATATATGCCTTTATTGAATATATATAACAAAGGACTTTCTCTATTTTGGGCAACTAGTAAACAAAGTATGGACTTTTCAGTAAACTTGAGAGACGGGTAGGAGAATAAAGGAAATTCCTCATCCCAACTTTCATCCTTCAAATTCCTTTTTGGTGGTGTTTGAAAAAACAAATTCTTTATTTTCTAGTGTGTGGAAGTGGTTCATATGGTTCATGACACAAGAACCTGACACCTAAACCACTTCCATATAGGGATAGCGGAAGAATTTGTTTTTTCAAACACCACCAAAAAGGAATTTGAAGGATGAAAGTAGGGATGAGGAATTTGAAGCACTTATCCTCACGCATCAACATTCTTCCAAAAACATTGAGTTGAAGATCTGGATTGTACTATCCAAGTGTGTTCATATGTGTCAGGTTCATGTTAGCCTATATGGCCTTCCTTTATGTGGGATAAGTGCTATGCTGATAGTTTAGGTCTATTATGTGGCCAAGTCTCTCTTATGTGTGAATGATATAAATTATAAGCCAGTAGGCCCAATCTCATCATTTTTGTTGAATAAAGAAGGGGAAACTTTCTAAATAAATCATTAAAAAGTATCAATCTTATAGTTGAAATTGTTTAGACTAGTTCCCTAAGCTTTAAGAATAAACTAAATATAAAAAATATTTTAAGGATAAAAAAGTTTGAGATCATCCCAAATCTAGGTTCTGGACTCTTCCATCTCAGTATGAGTATTTAGCTTGTCTACTCCAAGTCGAGCTCAAATATAAACGATGTTGAGACCTACGCACATTTTCTTTAGTTTTTTTACTTTTTTGTTTATATGGTCCACTATCTTGCTTCTTCAATCCCAAGTCAATGGGCTTAAAATTGGGTTAGCTGTAAGAAGGAATGTGATAGGTTTCCTTGAGCATTTGGTGAGGAATCTGAGTTGAATTGTAAGAAAAGTTTTAAGGAAAGCAATAAGGGAGCAGGAAATCCTTGGAGAAGCCTTCTCAGAGCTTTGTAAGGAGAGGAAAAGCTAAGTATTGTGTGTTTTATCCTATTGTATTTCTATAAACACAAATATTAGCGAATGTTATTATTTCAAATGATGCTTTATGGAGTTTTCTTCATACTTTCTAAGTAGATCTCTTTTACCTTTCCTTGTAATGGTTTAGTAGATTGTGTAGAAGTGCAAATTGTTTCAAAAATTGATTTTTATGGTTGAAAGTAATGAATAACCTTCAGAATTTCATTTACTTTTCAGGTCAAGTGATTAGTTAAAATGTGTTGTGATCCATAATGACTCGGGAGAGCTATGGTAAAAAACTAAGTTATTCAATTAGTGCAAGTATTTTATAAGGAGAAGCAAATGTTAGGGATATAGTCTTTGATGGGTTCAAATTGGTACTTAAAGAATTAAAACAAATTTAACGATACTTCTGTTGTGAGATATGTACTTCCTGACATAGAAATGAAACGCAAAGAACATAAGCAAACACAGATCTTTTACCTTGTTCGATCCGACTGGATCTACGTCCACGGGAGGGAATCAATCAAATAGTTCACTAAGGCAAAAGAAATGGAGAATACATAGCTTATACATAGAGATGAGCCATCATCTTCCTTCTATGGCCTCCCTCTCAAGCGACACCTTGATACAAGGCCTCAAGATGCTCTCCTCCTCTCTAGCTCTCTAGCTTCTCTCCTCCTTTGTGGTAGCTCAAGATATCTTCTCCCTTTCCTCTCCTAAGCCTCACACCCTTAAGATTTCTTCCCTTGCTCTCCTAAGCCTCACACCCTCTCTATTTATAGAAGCAAGAGAGTGGTAGGTGG